AAAATGGCGAATATTTGCTGTATATATTTTGCCGCAACAAAAAAATGTTTAAGCTGTTACCAGTTAGAGATAATACTTAAAATGTTGTAAGAGAAAGCACATGATATTTGGAATGTGCTTTAAAACACAGAAACAGTAGTCCCAACAACAGCAGTGAGGGTGATACATGGAAAAGACAGGCAAAATGCTGATAAACACTGAAGATAGAGTTTTTCATAATAGAAAACTTAAACAAGATCTTCTGGAGGCTAGCCATCACGTCCCAGCTACTCAGCCTGACATCTGAAGGTCTTGGACAGTCTGGCCCCTTTCTCTGGAGCTGAGGCCTGCAGAGCCCCTCCCCCAGTCAACGGGGCTTTCAGTTCTGCTTTCTCCTTCTATGAGGCAAATTCCTCCTCATTCTTTAAGACTCAGCTCGTCTCTGGGGCCTTCCCAGACTCCTCCAGGCCAAGAGAACTCCCTCCGTTGGGTTCCCACAGTGCCTTGTACGGTGATCCTGCTCCCCACTGCCCTGGGGGCTCCCTGCAAGCAGAGGAAGCTGACTTTTCACTGAACGTCTTTCTGAGCTGTGTGCAGCTTTTGTGGCTGTTGTAGTTGTGTGCATTCAATATTTTTTTAAGGGACTTCTCCCTTAAAAAAGCGGGAATGTGAATACTAGTTATAACGCGTAAGAGTTGAAAGGGACCTTCGCAATCACCCGTATGCACACAGGTCTCCCTTTCTAGACTGTGCTTTCTCTACTTGCCAAGTCCTAATGCATTTTTACATTTTCAGCACCTACCACTGGGTGTTCGGTAAATTGTTGCTGAATTTGCTGACAAATTACAGGCTTGCTTTCTACAGATGGCCAATTAACTATCTAGGTATTTTAGAAGAAATAGTTAATTTTCAGGGGCGGTTTGTCAGAGCAGCAAATAAGCACCTGGAGGGCCACCACTGGGTCAGGGAGCCAGCGAAGCCAGGGGGTGAGGGAGTGCAGCGGGTGCGCAGCACACATCTTGCCAGGGGGTGGCGGCAGGAGCTCACAAACTCTCCAAGACCCTCAGGCCTGGTTTTACCCTTCGCGTGTAGGATGGGAAATAGGAACCCTCTCCTATTCCTGATTTATTTTGTACCTTCTTTATGCCTCGAGACACTTGACCGAAAGAACAGGGCCTGAGTTATAGACACTAAGAGCCAGAAACTAGGCACCTTGTTAGAGATAAGTGTCCAGACAAGTGCTAGGCATTTACTAGGGGCATTGTTAGTGCTTTTGTCTTCTAGCTTGAGGTTTCCACCCTTGTGCAGGCCTCAGGCACCCAGGGAGGGTGTTCGGTCCTTTAGTTCCAGTGTGGATGGAGATTGAGAACAGATTTTCACGTGGGGAAGAAGAGGGAAGAAAGACCATGACACCGGGATGTGCACAGGCGAGAAGAGAGAAGATGGCGGGGCCTGCAGAGACAGACTCAGTCCACCCAGTCCTGAGGGTGGCCTCCTCTGATTTTCTACATCTGTCCAGCCAAAACCATCACTCCTACCATCTCCAGTCAGTAAGCAAGCACTGATTGTGAATAAGTACACAGCTCGGGGAAGGAGCTGGAAATTTATGGATACGATGATTATATTTGTTCAAGCGTTAGCTCAGAGCATATAACAATGGGACATAATCAATATTGAAAATCCAGTTTGTTGGAAAATCCAGGGCCCATACATGGATGGTCCTTGCTCTGAAGTAGAGTTGCATAATCCAGTGGTCTGAGGCTGGGGTGGGAGAGAGGTATCACAGGTTATTAGACAATTGAGTTTGAAAGGTGACATCAGATGATGATGCTATGAACCAAATGTGATGAGTAGACAGTAAATGGGAAGAAAGTTCAGAAGAGGAAGAAGCCCTGGCCGTGGTATTAGTAAAACAGCAGTTAATACCTGGTGCATAAATGTTTGTTGCGCTTTGCTGATAGTACTTCATATTTACAAAACATTTCAGAGTTCCTGAAACACTTTCATGTCAGTGATTCTCATCTGGCTTCATTAAGTCTTAACAGCAACTTGTGAGTCAGGTGTTATTAAATGAGATAAAATACAGAAAGCACTTAGGATAGTGATTAGGAGGTAGTGAATGTTTGCCATTATTATTAAAATCATCATTAGCCCTATTTTATACATGAGGAAACTGAGGCTCAGAGAGGCTGTTACTTGCCCAGAGTCACACAGCTGAGAAGTGGTAGAACTCAGCCTGAACTCAGTTCTCCTGGCTCCTATTTCCAGAACTTTCTCCATTATCCCGTCTATAAAGAGGGAGTATTTAAGCTAAGCTTGCCAAGGCTCAGCCAAGTTTTGAGGCAGCCTTAGCAGAGAAGTCTCTGATGATGTCTCCTCAGCCTTCTGAGCCCTAGTTGGCAGATGGTTGGGAATTGCTGAGGATATTCTGTGCCCTGAGTAAGAAGAGTTAAATCTGGGAGCATCTACTCATTTTAGCAGCAAGAGGAGATGGTTCATTGCCTAGTCCATCAAGGAAGCTGCAAGTCATTAAACTCACATAGATCCTCAGCTGCTAGGCTTGTTAAGAAAATGTTACAATAGGGGGAAATTGACAACACAGAGACCATAGATATTTTTAGTCTGTGTCTCAAGGATGTACATCTTGGGTTCTGTTTAGATTGAGCACAAGAGGGTGAATTTGGATTGATTTGACAAGACTGGCAGTCAGAAAGTCCTTACTGCGCACCTTTTCTGTGCCTAGCATATGCACGGGACTGTGGGGGCACCCAAGAGGGGCAAAGTAACTTTCCCAAACTTTCAAACACTGGGGAGAGTGATATAATTTTTTTCTTGGCTGGGGGGAAGTGTGCCAACATCAGTAAAAACTCTTGTGTCTATTTCCTGCACCAGAAATTCTTCAATAAATTGTTTATCTTTCTAATGTACAATGTGGTGTGACTGACTACAGTTGATAATACAGTATTATATACTTAAAATTTGCTAGAAGAGTAGATCTCAAGTGTTCTCATCACACACGCATGCACACACACACTAGGTAATAATGTAAGGTGATGAATGTGTTAATTAACTGATTGTGGTTATCCCATTTCACAAGGCATACATATATCAAATCATCATGGTGTACACTTTAAGTATTACAATTTTATGTGTCAGTTATACCTTAATAAAGCTAGAAAAAATTTATCTTATGAATATATTCTTAAATGTAAGCCATTGTAGGTCTGTTTGTAATAGCAAAAACAACCCCCAAACTGGAAATCTAAGCACTCACCAGTAAATATTGGTTAAATTACTGTATAACCTTCAAATGGAATCTCCTACAACTATTAAAAAAGGAAGAGGTCTATCTGGATGTGCTGGAAAAAATATCACTAAGATGTATTTTAATTGAAGTATAACTGACTGACAATAATATATTAGTTTCATGCATACAGCATAGTAATTCAGTATTTTTCTAGATTATACTCTATACAAAGTTATTATAAAGTAGTAAATAGTAGGCTATCCCATGTTCATGGATTGGAAGAATTCATATTGTTAAAATGTCCACAGTACCCAAAGAACTGATAGATTTTTAGGTACAATAAAAAAAAATTAAGGTTCAGAAAGGAAGAGTTTATATAGCATGATGCTGTATGTATGTGTGAAGCATGTATGTATTCAGACATTTGCACACATTTTCCCGGCGCTGGAAGGGTATGCTTGCAACTGGTAATTGGGAGTATGTGTGCTGACAGAGGAGTGGAAAAGGAGAAATGTATTTTTCATCTTATTCTTTTAAGTGGTTTTGAAGATAGATTGATTGGTTTAACCATGTGACATACTTTTTTTCCCCTTAATTTAAGCCACTTGCCTACGGTCACACTGCCAAAAAGGGGCACAGCTGGGATTCCCACCCAGCCTGCGATTCCAGAGCTCTGTGATCCAGAACCCCTTTGGATCCTAGCACACTGCCTCCTAACATTGCTCTCTTGGGATCAGGAAGTAATTCTGTCACTTGCTTGTAAGTTACAAAACTTTTCATGAAAACACCTGGGGGAGTGTGCTCATTCTCCAGAAGAAGGGTCTGTGCCCCAATGCCTGCCATCTTGGCTCTTTCTCTGTAGGACTGTGGCTCAGCCAAAGAAGGTCAGTGACCTTGAGGCAGGAAACACAAACTAAGGTTTCCAACAGGACAAACCACCTTAAGGAAAAGGCATTAAGATAATTGGAGAGGTGGGGGTGGGGAGAAGACATGAAAACAGTATCATTAGCCAACTTGGTCAGCGGGCAGGTGCAGGAAGTGGCAGATAAATGCGGCCAGAATCTAAAAACATACTTCAATATCAGTGTTCAAAACCGACAAAATAAATGAGTGAATTAGAGAACTTGGGAGCATCTGAGTATCTAGAGATAAACTCCTAGTTCTAAGCTTAACTCCTATGACCTTTTCTGGGATTTGAGCATGTTATTTAACTGCTCTGGGGTTTGTTTCCCCATTGGCCAAAGGGATAGCATTGTCTGTCCAGGCTGCTTCACTGAGTTGTAAGGAACAAATAAGGCAAGGAATGTGCTTTGAAAATGCAAAGCATCCCTCAGAATGAGAGGTTATTGTTAGTGTCTCCAGACTCACCTCACAGGAGAGCTATTTTGAGACAGGAAGGTGGGAGGAGGCATCAGAAAAGCATTGTTGGAAACAAGGTAGACACCTCACCAACACAAGGAAGGAACCTCATCAGACCATGTACTCCAGTTCCTCGTTTTATAGTTGTGGACAAAGATCTACAGGTCCTCTAGATCTGCAGAGCAGTGATGGCGCCATGTGCACACTATTATTTAGACCCATAAATAAGCTGGAGCAGTAGCCAAAGGGATGGGATGTGCTACAGGCCCCCTGCTTGAGGGGCTTGCTGGGCTGTGAAGGTGGAACAGGGTCTGGAAGCAAGCTGATGAAGCTGAGTAAGGAACTGGGGCAGAGGTGGGACTTCAGTGATCCAGCTCCACGATGGCTGAGTGCCTCTGAGGAACAATTTGAGGGTAGCCAGGGACTTGGATAGGACAAACGACAACTTCCTGGAACAGGCTGTTCCAGAAACCAGAGAGGAAAGGAAATAGTCTGGCCTGATCCTGGGTAGTTCACAGGAACCAGGGTAGGAAGCAGTGGTAGTGGAATTAGTGCTCACAATATCAAGTCCCTCTTGAGCAGAAGAAGGAAAACGGGAAAAGAAACATGCAACACAGGGCACGGGGCAAGTCCGTTTATGTAGTGATAAGAGTGAAGATGGAGAGAATGAAGGAGCAGAGGGAGACAGGGCCGTGCAGCGCCAGGGGCACTGGATTCAGACTTGGGTGTGAATCCTGGCTCTGTCACTAACTTGCCATGTGACCTTGAATCTGCCATTTTCCTCCTCTGAATCTTGGTTTCCTCATCTTGAACATGAATACCTTTCTCTGGATCTTGTAAGTCGTTATGAGGATTAAATGGGGTATTCTTGAAAGCAACTAGTACATAATTCCTAGAACATGATGCCCAATAAATGTTAGTTTATCCCTTTTGGAGAGGGACTTTTAGAAAACCTCCAGTGGAACATACTGATTTGGAATTTCAAGCAGTGGGAAAGCAAGCCCCACCTACCTAACAGGTACAGTGTGGAAAGTCCTTTGTTACGGATGGAAAACCAGCCTAAATACGCAGATGAGAAAATCTGGGAGGGAGGCTAGGTGAAAGGCACAGTAGCAATGTATATATAAATATAAGCGTAAACCCATTCCCCTTACCAGTGGCTGTGAGGCCATTAATGCATTAATGTGAGGTTCCTCCAGATCAGAGACAAAATGGGAAGATAATCAGTACAGTGTATGTAAGTTTGACTCATTCCCTTGACTACTCAGAAATACAGCATAAGTTTTGTGTTCAATTATAGTAGCTTTCTTCAGCCACCCCCCCCCCTTTTTTCTGGTTAACTCTCCTTCATTCATTGTCCTTTAATCCTTATTTTGTTGGTTATATTTGCTTTTTAAATTATTAATTGCCTCAAATCATTTTTGGAAGTATGAGTATGAAGAAGTAGAATGGTAACAGTTTCTTTAGAAACTAAAACTCCAAAGGTGGAAACCAACTAGAAAATCTGAGTGAAATTAGGATGGGGGAACACAAGGGAACTATAGAGATTTATAAAATTGACCTAGGCTTTACCAGAGGTAACATTAGGGGAATTCCTACTTCTAGACTTCTTCTGTAGCTGAGGATATTATCATAAAATCACAAAACCTGAAAGTGAAAGTACTCTCGGTTTATTCCATGGATGGGCAAGTTGATCACAGAGCAGAGGCAGTGGTTTGCTTGAGGGTCCCTCATGGTGACCCAGTAGCAGAGCTAGGGTGCGACCCTGACCAGGTCTCTTGACTCTCATTCCAGGATCCTGTCTGCTATAGTCCTCTTTGTGAGAATGATTTTCTTGCCTTGAACTAATTTGTGTGGGTTTTTTTTTTCTTTCCCTTTTCCAGGGCCAAGTGCTTTCGGGGCAAAAAAGTCCTTGGAGATTATGATATCAAAGTGGAACAGGTAACCAGCCTGGAGCCCAGGGTTGCTTCTGCGTCATCTTTGTTCTCTCTTGACATTCCAGAGTGAACCACCTCGTTCTGCCAAATGGAGAACAGTGTCCATCACTAGCATCCAGTCTCTCTATCTCCTCCCCCGACCCCCACCCTTTCCAGGACTGTTCTCTCTACTAGACCCAGTCCTGAAGGCTGCATTTTCAGCTTCCCTGACTTCTTTTCATGGTTCTGGTGTCTGGAGGGAGGCAAGCAGTGTGGCCCTTAGGGCCCTCTTGCAGTGCAGGGTTCTCAGGCTGAGGAACACTAGAGGAATATCTTCCTAGGACATGGCCACACCTCCATGTTGCTGGTGGTGTGGTCCTCCTGGGTGGTCCCACGTCTGCCATTCAGGTGTGTGGCCTCCAGTGGTGCCCCCTCTGTGCCTGAGGCTACTCTTCAGAGAGAACTTAGAAAAGAACACCGCCTGGTTTTAATGCAGTGAAGTGCTGAAAGGCTCGTTTTTAAAAAATATTCCTCTATCCTCTGCTTCATGATAAATAGAGGTTTGGTCCATCTGAGTGGAGAGGAGGATGTCCAGTTTAAAGAATATGTGTATTTTCTATGTAATGATAGAAGCTACTCATCATTCCTTACACAGTGCGCTGTGATTTACAGAGTACTTTTCCTATCCATTATCGCATTCTGTTCTTGAAATTACTTGTTAGATAGGCAAGGGTGATAAAAATTATTCCCATTTTTCAGGTGGGAGAAACTGTCCCCTGAGAGAGAAAGAGTAACCTGCCTATAGCATCTTGTGCATCTAGTGGGGGACAGAGCAGAACTAAAACCCAGTTGCCTAAACTAAAACTTAGTGCTTTCATGGCGAAGAAGGGCATGTTTGCCCCAGTTTGCATTCCCGCTCTGCAGCGAGGCAGCACAAAAGATACTGGGCTGGGAGTTGGAAGGACCTGAGTGTTGCTGCTGTCTCTGCTAACAAAAATTTTTGTTTGTCCAAAAAAGTCACTTAACCACTCCTTTGGTAGATAGGGACAATTCTCTCTGCCCCTCCTGCCTCAGAGAGTAGCTGTGAGAGTTAGATGAGGTCAGTTTGTGAAAATGCTCTGAAAACCGTAAATGAACGTTTGGTGGTAAGAATGCTGCTGCCGCCACGTGTAGGACTTGGCAGAGTCATGACTGTGGGCTGAGTCCCCTACTCTTATTTTTATTTATTTATTTTATCATAGTAAAAAAACACATAACATGAAATCTACCCTCTTAATCCCCTCCCGTTATTTTCCAGGCGGAGTTTTCAGAGCTCAACCTGGTGGCCCATGCAGATGGAACCTACGCTGTGGACATGCAGGTGCTCCGGAACAGCACCAAGGTTGTCCGGTAAGATCCTTTCTGCCCTCGGGGTCACTGTCATTCTCTCCAGGGTTACTGTCTGTGGCTTGCAGAGGTGGTTTCACAGTCAAGTGATGGAGTGGAATGGTATTGTTATGAATAGTGCACGGGACTGAATGGTATGTGCTGGGTGGACGTGGAAGAAGAAGGCAGAGGAAACCAGCCCCTGCCCTTAGGGAGGTCTTAGTCCAGAGGTAGAGAAAGCTTCGTGGACTCAGAGCTCACACGTAGAGGTAACTGGATTCCTGTCAGAGGTGTTCCAGGACTCCAGCCCTACCTCAACTAGGGCAGTCCTGTGCTTTTCTCTCTGAATATATTTCCCCTGAAAAACAGGATTCCATTGCTTAAAAAAAAAAAAAAGTTTGAAAACCTCTTCTCTAGTTTAACCTCCTATTTTACATTGATTTGTTTAGATTCACTCAGCAAGTTGGTGGCAGAATCTTGTATTCCTTGTGAATTCTTTTAACTCCCAACCCTGTGTTCTTCTAAATTCCAAATTCCTGGGACTCATAAGTCTGATAGGAAAGCCTGGGGTTGGAAGGGACATTGGAGGTGGAAGAAAATTGCAATTACAAGGCACTTAGGTGGCAGGTGGGGTGGTGGGTGACTTACAGACGTGATCAGATATCATACAGCAGTTCTGTGAGGGAAAATCATTTCCACAGTGTATTCTTCTCAGCCTGGCTTCACATTTTCAGACATCAGGGTCTTGCTCCAGGAAGTCTTCACTTCACCCTCTTCCCTGCGTCAATCTGCAGTCCTCTGAAACTGAGGCCTCCAGTGTCCAGCAGAACCTGGATCAGGGACAGGGAAGGCAGAACCGGGTGTCTGGAGCCTCATGTCAGGAAATGTGAGCTCATCCATCCCAGAGACTGAGGAAGACAGAAGAAGAGATGTCTGTCTGGAAGGGGAGTGAGCTCAGGGAGCTCCTGCTAGAGAGAACGACAGGTTCCTCCAACTGCAGATGGAGTGAGTCACAGGGATGTGTGACACCAGCCAGTAGTGCAGAAAGGCCTGTAGCAAGTGCTGGGTGGTTTCTGGCAAAAATAAGGCAGGCCCTTCCAGTTAGCAGAGTGGAAACTTAAGAGCTGACCTCAAGTCTAGAGTTCAGTTCCTGTAACTGGGATGTCAGGTTTGATCTCAGGTGTACAGCTGGAGCCAGTTTCCCAGAATGAGGGCACGAGGTGGTCAGAGCACAGGCCGTACTGACTACGTGCTCAGTCCCCTGAGTGACTGAGGAAGGGTCCTTCCATCCACTTTAGAAGACTGGTCTCTGGGCCTGGGTGGGACTAGAGCTATAGATGGGGATTGGACGGGTGCCTGGGCAGAGAACCAGCTAGGTCATTGCACATGGAGTGAAACGGCCAAGGCCTTGAGCCTTGAGGGCCAGTGCTGCCACAGAACTGCCTCTCTGAGAAAGGGGGTTCCTCTGGAGTCAGGGCATGAAGACGCAGGCCCTGGTCCTGAGGAGCAGCTGTGGCTGGGAGCTTTGTTGGCCAGAGGGGAAATGCAGGGAACATTCTGTGCTTTCAGTGCTTCCTGTAGCCAGTTGCTCAACCTCAGTTCTGCGAAAAATATTTCCACCCCTCCCTAGTGTCCGCTTTGGAAGAATAACATTAGGAAGTCTGGCGTCTGTTCTCAGCCTGGACCCTTGCTCTCCTGGAGTGGGGAGCTGCTGCTGAAGGCGTTGCCTGTTTTAAGGAGCAGCTTTAAGGAGTCGGAGCAGGATGTGGAGACCAGGGATCTATGTGGCAGGGTGATGAAGTCAGCTAAATCTGTTGTCCTCAGAGTCTGCTGGGTTCCCTTGAACAGTGCTGGAGCTGCGAGAGCTTAAGTTCTCATACTGCCCCGTAGGGACAGGGGGGATCCTTGTCCATTAAAGGTGTGAGGGTCTAAAAGTGTTTCTTCCCTCCTCAGGGCATTTATACCTTAGAAAAACGCAAGACTTAACCCAGAAGAATAAGAGAATTTAAGAAAGCTGTTCTTCAAATCGCCTTTGAAAAATGCTATATGTAAAACCTCATGTCCAGTCCCTAAAAGAATAATAATGATAAAATGAGGGCTTAGCCCAGGTAGCCCCGAAGGCCTCTTCTCTGTCTTGGGCTTTAGAAATGGAAGACAAGGTGAAGTATGACCTGAGGTACTGGTTGATGGCAGACCTGCTTCTACGTTCTTCCCAGGTCCTTCCGGCCGGACTTTGTGCTCATCCGGCAGCATGCGTTTGGCATGGCGGAGAATGAGGACTTCCGCCACCTGGTCATCGGCATGCAGTACGCAGGCCTCCCCAGCGTCAACTCCCTGGAGTCCATTTACAACTTCTGTGACAAGCCATGGGTGGTGAGTGAGGTCCCCTCCCCCCAGGTAAAAGAGTAGGACCCAGGTCCTCTATTTCCCAGCCCCCTAGGAGGCACCACAAGTAATCCAGATTCAGGAGGCACCAGCTGGGACACAGGGTAGGGTCACTCTCACAGTGACATTGTCATCACAGGCTGGGCCATCTTTGCTGCAGAGTGGACCTTTGGCGTCACAGTGAATCACACAAAGATTCTGTAAAGAAGCCCTCACAGGTCTGTAGGCTGTGTCCTTAGCCATAGGATGCAACAATAAAAATACCTGTTTCCCACCTCTGAAAGGTCTAACCGTTGGAAAGGCCTGAGGCCAGTAGGGACTCAGGGGATGGTCCATCTCAGAGGGATGTTAGTGTCAGAGTTCTGCCAAGTGTTTAAGTGAGATTTATCCACACACATATCAATCAGACACTTACATGCCCCGAAAGTTTCCCCAGAGATCATCACATCTCACCCCTTCATGGCAGAGATGTGAAAATTATGGAAGGAATGTAAGGAGTATAAAACCACTTACTATGTGCTGCCACCTTCTGAGATTTTCCTGCATTAATTTTGCTTAATCCTCACCACAGTCTTACAAGGAAGATACTACTATTATCATTATTATCACTTTTGCAGAGAAATGAGACCCAGAAAGGATTAAGTAACTTGCCAAAGTCATAGAGCCAGGGTTTCTCTAGATCACACTATATCCCACATAAATTAAGTTACCATGTCAGGATGAAGCTGGTCTGGTGTTCTCTTCCTTGGCCAGTCTGGAAACCTTGGAAGCAGTGGAAATTTTTGAGCAGAGAGAACAGTGGAGCTAGGAAGGAGTGACCGGTGACAGTGCTGGGCCTCTCTGGCTGCCCCTCTGACAGCCGAGGGGTCTAACTCCTGTAACTTTGTTGCTCCAGGCTGGTCCTCTTGGAAGGAAACACCTGCCCCGATCACATCCTCCTCCTCCTCTTGTTTTTCAAAAAGTCGTTTCTGCCATCCCACACCGGCTTGTCAAGGGTCATGACACTGGTCGCTGACTGTCAAGTTCCCAGACCCCAAGCCTCCATACCACTCAGAGAGCTGGAGGGGGTGTTTCTTAACCAAATGGATTTACCACCCTTGATCTTTTTTTCACATATGAACTCAGTTTTTCTATTCCGTTGGAACCAGAAACCTGACAGTACAAGAGAAAGACCGATGAGTGAGGAGTTGGAAGACCTGGGAGTTGCTATGGTCAAGGAGGGGTTGCCCCTTATTTAGCCTTTCCCTCTGTCTGGCCTGAGGATCTGGAACCCTAGAGTTTTGCAGAAACAGGCTACAGGAATTGTGTGATTTGAATGAATCACTAATCACAGAAGAGCACGTGAGGCCTTCCCCAAGGTTCTCTTCAGTTACAGGACCATCCCTACTGATCTCTTGCCCGGCCCTCTCCTCCGTCACCCTTCAATGCCAATTTGAATTTGGCTTCCTCATAGCCATGCAGGGCGATTCTGCTATTATCAGCTGTTTCCTGGGCGATCTCACTAATCAACCTTCTGGCTAAACCTCTCTGTGCCCAGGTTTCTTTGTAAACTAGGAATAGTCATAGTCCCTGCCACCAGTTTGCCAGCCTAGTGTCATAGTCGCCTAGTATTTGGGATCTTAAAGAAACTAGTTCCTTGCTTTATGTTCCAAAACTGTGCCAGAGGCCAGGGAGCTGTGGATCAGAGAGCCTGTGCCTAGGGCTTTGCCCCGCTAGGATCTGGGATCTGGTGAGAGTTCACACTCTCACCCATTCACAATCCCGGCATATCACCTTTGGCATCGCTCCCTGGCCAGACACCAAGTTCTCCCTTCATTTTTGGTGAGCAGCTGCCACCAATGGCATTTTATATGTTGTCCTCTGCCTGTTAATGGCAATGAACAAATTTGGTGACTGTGAGGGGAGGGTCCCCTGAGATGATGACTTTGTTTCATATTTTCTAATTTTCTCTATTATGGGGGCTCTTGGTGTGAGAAGAGGCCTCAGTTGGGTTGGGAAAGGCTCTGTCTTGTGTGCCCGTGTCTCTGAGCACATCTGCTATCTCATAAATTGATCAGGGCAGGCGTGCCGGGATTTTGGAAGCAGAAGTAGACCTAGCAATGAAAGCGTTCCAGAGAAAGCAAGAATGCCACCATCCCACATTGCTGCAAATTTATCTGAAAATCCTGCTACTCTTTGTGAGTTTTTTAAGAGACAGATGCACAGAGTTGAATTAAAGCATTTTATTTCCAGGAGATAGGACAATATATTAAATTCAGACTGATCTTGAAATCCCATTTTTTCCCAAGACATCTGTCCTGATAGATTGGATAAGTGGTTATAATGAACATTATCTTCCTATTCATTGCCAGTACCACCCCCAGCTCCCAAATCCTTTCTTTTGTCTATACATAGAGGAAATAACCCTTATCAGATGTTACTTTTGTTTAATCGGTGACTGTGTGCTTGTGACTGAATCTAAGTTTCCAAGGAGGCAGGGGTTAGAGGCCAAGCCCAGAACTTTGAGCAGACAGTGGCTGCTGGAGGTAGAAGAGGGTGGGTGAGCTCCCAAGGACCCAGCCTGTGCCTGGGAACTGGCTGCCACTTTAGTCTTGGCTGCCTGAGGACCCTGGGAGTCCACCGTGGGCCTTCTTGGCATCAGTGCGGTGTCTGTGTAATTCTCCCACATGCTGGGAAGATAGGGCCCCACATGCCTTGGTGCGGTGCCAGGGCGTGGGCTGCAGCAGGACACAGGTCGTTAGGCAGAGCTGGCATCAGCTTGCTGGGGATGCTGGAGAGCTCGGGGAGCTCAGGCAGGTTTCCAGACACAGAGCAGGAGTCCAGCCAGGCTGAAGTGGGCAGGCAGGATTTAAAGGTCAGATGAGGTGGTGGGGAGAATCAGAGATGGCAGGAAGGGTCTGAGGGGGTTCTTGATAGTCAAAGAACGTTGACGAGCCAAAGAATGGTGAAGGCCATGAGTTCCACGGAGAATGCACTGGGCCAGAAGAGAACCGGGTGCCGCCCCAGGGCAGCCTCACCTCCAGGCACGAGGTCGGAGCCTCCGCTTTCCTTTGCTCTTCTAGCCTCAGTCTCCTCATCTGTAACATGAGATGTCTCGTCTAGAGACTCTACAGTCCCTTTCAATAATAAAGCCTTGGGGGCCGAAAGTCCATTAATCATACTTCCAGCCCCGGAGGAGGCCTTAGTGATCCAGAGTCACCAACTGTGTGTCATTAAGGGAAGTGACCCAGAAATTCCAGTGTTTTTCTGCATTTCAAAAATAACATAATTCTATCTTTACTCACAAAGGGACCACAGCAGATGATCGCTTAACCAGTAGTTTGATCATGGAGTCTGGGAGGAAATACAATAGGTGTTCTTTTGTGGTGAAAAGTTTGAGGAAACTGAGTTTTCTCATTTTATATGTGAAGAAAATGAGGCCTGGAGAGGAGAAATCATTTGCCCAAGGACACCTGGCAAGTCAAGGCGGAACAAGAAGAATCAGAAGACTCCAATTTCCTAAGAGCCCAGTTCTCCACGCTCGTGTCCCCACACTGCTCACGTGCTGACGTACCTTATAGAGAGTAGGACCTGAGCGTTTGAGAAATGTTCCAGCTCTCCTTTCTCTGCTAAGTAGAAGGCAGGTTCGATCTGGCAACTTTTCCTTCTAGCAGTTCCAGACATCAGTGGCTTAGAGCGTGAACCCAGTAGCACTGCGGAGAAGATGCTGGATTACCCCTGCTGCCAGGGCGCTAGGGGTGGGTGTGGGCGTGTGTGGGAATGGACTGAACAAGAAAGTCTCCTGTGGGAAGAACATGGTCTCTTGAGAGCCTGAAAGGCAGCTACAAGAAGGAGTAGGGAGACTTATGAGTTAGGAATAAAGGAGCCTGGCCATGAATCTGGCTCAACTGCTGTGTGACCTTGGGCAAGTGACCTCTCTGGGCCTCAGTTTCTTCACTGATAAAGTGTGGGGGAGAGGGGGCACCAAGGGGAGATGCATGTGTGCCAAAGGCAAGCCCTGACGCTTACATGTGTGTACCTCACCTCTTCCCATGGAGCTGTTCCGCTTTCTCATAGCTAAAGGGTCCAGTGAGTTCAGTTCTCGAATGAGTATTAAGCCCCAGAAGACTGGGTCTGTCTTTCCTGCATTCCATGACCACCTACATCTTCGTGAAGAACAGTTTCATTCAGGACCTCCCTGCTTAAACTCTGATGACTCCGTACTCCCTACAGGAAAAAGCTACCATTCCTTTGTTTGGCATTTGAACTTCAAGACTGGGCCCCATGTTACCTCCCCAGCTTCATCACTTGCCATCTCTAGAGATGCAGGCATTTAGAGTGAGAGACCCAGATTTCAATCCCAGCTTTACCCCTTTGCAGCTCTGTGACTTTAGGCAAGTTTCCTACCCTCTCCGAGCCTCATATGTAAAATGAGGATGATAAAGTACCTAGTTTATCCATTTGAAATGAGGAAATATCAGTAAAATTGAGTAGGTACTGAATGAATGTTAGCTCACCCTCTCTCCCTTCCCCAACTAGAGCATAACTTCCTGGAGAACAGAGATGGGACACCTTTTTCCTATCCCCAGAGTGCTCTGCACGAAGCCCTCAGTGGCGCAAATGCTAGACAAATACTTGTTTGACAGGTTGACATTTTGTCTGTCTGTCCCAGAAGCTGTCTAGGTGAACGAAATGTTTGCTTCTCTTTTGCAGTTTGCTCAGCTGGTAGCCATCTACAAGACACTGGGAGGAGACAAGTTCCCACTCATCGAACAGACGTACTACCCCAACCACAAGGAGATGGTAGGTGACTGAGAGGGCACTTCAGCCTCTCTGCTGTTTGCACTCTCAGCTTAGCCACATGGTGACCATGCGGCTCTGAAGAGGGCCTCAGCATCTCAACCCGAGAGACTCTATTGAGGATGAACTGTATACCCGTTCTGTGGGGCCAAAGTGTCTGGGTTTTACATGGCAGCCCCTTTGCCTCCAAAACCTGGAGACAGAATAGGAAAGAGCAGAAACAAGAGCAGTGTGTCAAGATAAAAGAGTAAGAACCCTGTAGATCAACAATCAGAAGATCCCCTGCTTGGGTTCTAGCCCTGGGGCTGCCACAAGTCCTGGACAGTTGCACCCCTCCCTGTGTGTCAGTTTCCCAGTCAGAAAGCCAAGGGGACGTAACCATTCCTGACCAGCATCTCTAATATGGTACTTGCTTATAAGTGAGAATCCTTAAGTAACAGCCTCTGGAAAGTGTGAAGTGCTCCTCAGATGTAAGGTATTGTTCCTATTTGTATTCCCCAGACACTTGCCTTCCCTTGGCGTCCCTGAGATTTCGACAGGACTGGGTTTGCATTGTGCCTTCTCTGAGGCCATCCTAGGATGGCAGAAGGGCAGAGAGATGAGATGGACTGTTGGTACAGAGGCTGTTACTAATGTTTTTCCTCCGTGGTGACCTGGAGCTTAACCCCCTTCTTCTCTGTCCCCACATCCTCTGCCCTAGTCTTGCATGGTCAGTTGGTGACCCTGCTTAACCCTCCAGTGGAGACTCTGCCATAGCTTTCCAAGTCTGGTGCTCTGGACAGAGACCTGCAGGAGGAATCTGCATTCACACTGTTTCTGTGAATCAGGGGCCTTCTTGTGGCATTTGTACATGGCTCAGCTTATCAGCAAGCCACACAGAGAAGATGAATAATAACCTAGGGCCTTGAAAAGAACTACCACCTTCATCTTTGCCAGAGCTTCCCCAGGAGAGGCCCTGGAACATTAAGCCCTTGCCCTTAATAAGTCCTTGAGACTCACATCAGGGCTTTCCCTTTCAGGGTAAGTCAGGAAGGCTTGCAGAGGCTGAGGACCCCTAGGGGTCTGTGCTTGGAGACTCAGGGAATCCAAGAGGCCACTGAGCTGGAGGCGGAGGGGCTCTCTGGGGCCTCAGAGCTAGCTTTCTCCTGCTGTAGCATCTACCAGGCTGACCACTGAAAAAAATGGCAACACTCTCAAAGTATATTCTCCATCCACCATCCTTTTCCCCCAAGAGGGCCCTTGTGTTATTTCTCTCCTGTCCTCCATCCTGAAATCTGCCCTTAGGAAAGGACCTCCTAAGATCTCTCTGAGGTATCAAAAAGCTAAGTGGGAATTTCAACTCTAAGAGAAATGCTTTTCTTGGCTTAAAATAAGTTTTGAAATAGGAATGAAAACATTAGTAATCTAGCAGAGAGAGACCTTCTAAAAGAGACAGAGGAGAAACCTTTTGGACCTCAGTCGAGGGCATTAAGTACAGTTAACCTGGAGAGACAATGCCCAAGTCTGTTCTTGTCCAAAGAGGTGTGCCAGCTAGGGCCAGGCCCTCTGCCAGGGACGGCGCAGAGAGGATCAGAGTGTGAGGAGGGAGGTGAGGCCACTGTAGGCTCACACTGAATGATTCCGTGTCCCCCGAGTCGCTCCCCCAAACAGATAAGTGTGTATCAGAGGATTAGGATGAGCTGAGACAGGAGGAGTATAGGACACACAGCCAACGTATGTTGTTCTTTTCATTCCTCCACCTCAGCCTGCTTAGGATACTGTCCACCCACCTCCGGGTACTGTCATCACAGGGCCACATCATCTCGTGTGCATAATATCCACCATCTCTCCCCTGTCAGATCAGTTAAGAGAAGAGAAAACGCATTTTCCTGGGGAGAAAAAGGAATAGCCCCAGCTTTGGAAAACGAACTAATCTGGAATCAGTAATAAGTACCAGCTTGACTAAAAGGGTTTGGGAGGCAGAGATGAGGGGCTGAGGGCAGGAGAGAAAAGCCAGGCTACTTTCCCTAGCCCTTGACAGATTCTGGGATGGGGTCTCAGACACAAGCTGTTATACGCCCCACCCCTGCCCTAAAGCTGGCCAGACCAGCCACTTGGTACTTCCTGCTGGCTGGCAGCGATGAGGCAGGTGGTGACAGCCAGAGCTCTGCAGAGAAGGAGAATGGCTTGGTCTTTAGGACTCTTGAAGGAATGTGGCCGTCCCTCCTAAGGCTGGATGATGTCAACAAACTCCTTCCGGAGGGGCAGATGTCTCTGGTACCAGCTGCAGGTGCCGTCAGCATGCTTCATGCAGACATAATGCTGGGCCTGGTACCCATAGAGCTTCCGTTCCAACAGCCAGTCTGTCCAGAGGCACTCATTGGGGGCCGAGATGGTGCAGGACACTGTATAGCAGGTGGTGATCTAGAGTCATAGCCACATAACATCAGAGGGAGTTAGGGGTCCTTTCGCTATTGCTGACTTTCTGACTTCTTCATATTCTTACAGCCCAGCTCACATGCCCCCTCCCTTATGAAGCCTTTCCCAGCCTCCGTATTTCTCCCTTAGTTCTCCTTCCCCTGTGCTCTCCGCATATAGGATTGCCTCTCTAATGGCATCTCTGGAGTCAGAAAGACCTGAGGGTCCTTACTCTACCAGTGGCCTTACACAAGCCACTTTACTTCTTAGAGCATTAATTTCTTCACCTTAAAATGGGAATCATAATTCTTCATAAATTTGTCTTAAAGACTAAATTAGATATTTTAAATAACTTAATCATTACAAGGCTTGGCAAAAAGTAGACTCTCTTTAAGCGATAGTGCATTATTGCAGCCTGCCTTATATGATGGCTGCCTTCCCAGTCAAAAGGTGAGTGCTTTGCGATCAGGGAACTATGGGCCATCTTGCCTTCCCATCCCCAACTTCATACAGTGTGTGGTCCGTGGCACATCTCAAGTATAGTGCAGTAGGTGAATAAATCATGCATGCTTGAAGGAAGGAATACACGAAGGGTGAGGCTGCAAGGCTCAAGACCCTTCCCCACCCCTTCAGAGACCTTGGAAATGGACGTTCCCTTACTTGGCAGCCACAGTTCAGATGGTAGTGGTGATTCAGACTTTCTCTCTGCAGAAAGGACAGGTTCTCCCAGGGCTCAATGTAGTTGCACAGATGGATGAAGACTTTCCCATCACTGAGGACCTGACCTTCAGGGGGAGATGGAGGAGAGCCTAGCATGAGGAATCTGTCCGTGGAGCTCTGCGTTCTTGAAGGAGCCCCAGATCACAGCCTCTTCAATATCTTTGCGTGGCAGTGGTGACACTGGGCTCTTGAAGGAACCATTAAAACCTCTATAGTCTGTGTGTCAAAACTATTACCAGGTGATATTTGTATGAGGGACAGTTGGGGGTGAAGGCCTTTATATTAGCGTGGTGCAGAGGGGAGCATGAGCTACAAGTCAGAATCTTGGTGCATCCCCCTTCTTTTCCATCATTTACTAGCGTGTGACCGTAAAAAAGTCAGCTGAAGGATGAGAATAATAAGGCTGTTGTCAGGACTAAATGAGAGAATACCCGTGAAGTTCCCAGCACAGTTTTGGGCCCACAGAAGATGCTCAGTAAACACTAGGTCTGTTTTCCTTTCTAACCCTTCCCAGTATCTACATGGGCCTGTCTCCTGCCCCACTGATACCTGTCTTGGTGAGTCCTTCCCCTTCCCCGCAAGGAAATTCCCCTTCTTTACCTATCAAACTCTTTCCTATCTTCCAAAGACTCTTTTTTTAGCACCACCTCATCCTCAAATCCATCCCTGACCATGCTAGCCCACACCTCTCTTAGAACTTCGGTCACTCAATCAGTAAAAGATTACTGCTACGACCTGGTGCCAGGAATACAGAAATAAATATGACGGGATCTCTGCCCCCAGGGAGCTTAAAAATTAGTAGGGCAGATAGATAAATAGGTAAAAATCACACTGTTGTGTGATTATATACAAGGTGCTCTTATATGTTCTTATATATAAGACCAAGAACAAGTTTTTATATATATAAGAACAAAGGAAAGCACAGTTGTCTCTGTCTGCGGAAGAGGTAGGGGCAAGAAAGGTGACTCAGAGCAGATGATGCCCGCGTTGGGCCTTGAAGGGACAGGTAGGAATTCACCTGCCAGACAAGCTGGGGAAGGACCTGTGGACAGTGGGACTGTCCCGTGCAAAGACAGAGGGTCACAGCCCAGCAGAATACCTTTGGCAACTGTGAGTAGTTTAGTCCAGCTCTAGGGGATACGGGGAGCTGGGCGTGGTCACTAACAAGTGGCAGGAGACAAAGCTGCAGAGGTCAGCAGCGTCTGGTCACAGAGGGCATTTGGTATTAGGCAGAAGAGCTTGTGCCTTCTGCAGGGCATGGGCACCACTGATGACTTTTCAGTACGCTGGTGCTTTGTCATTTAACCCCACTTCGTTTAGACCTGACCTTGAGGGCAGCCAGCATGCTTCCTGCTTCCCCTGATGCACCGCAGCACCCAGAGGGAGGTGCTTAGGAAGCAGGTGCCTTGTCTGCTAGTCCTGGGACCGGGAGGGCTCAGGGGTGTTCCCTTCCTCTGCCTCTGCCATCCAGAGGCTCCCAGATCAGCCCAATTCCATATCCTTAGAGCTGGGGAGCCCCCACCAGTGTGGCCTCCAAGCCTGTGACTTCTCACGAGCCAGGTTTGAACTGTGAGCTCTTTGAGGATAGGGACTTATTACTGAGTCTCCACTTTCCTGTCCAAGGCCTGGCAGTGAGTAGGGGGTCGTTCATTGCTGAATGGATGGACAGATAGTGGAATTCCTCCTCCTGTCCTCTCCACCTGCTGTGTTTTTCTTTTCCTTGCCTTCTTTCTAAATATTTTTCATCCTTTAGGGCCAATTGAGATCCCACTTACACAACAAAACTTCCCTAATTGTGTACAACCACACAAATACCTTCTTTCAAAACTATTGCAAAATAGTTCAGTATTGCATGTGTTCACGTATGGAGTATATTCTCATGTGGTTCTTTAACTGTTCTATTCCAACCACTTCAGCGTGAGGTGATCCACCTGGGCCCAAGTTCATGGAGACAGAATCATGTTAGACTCAAGGCTCCTGTTAGGGCCTGTGCTTTACTGCACCCCCAGGATGGGCCTTGGGTGTGAGTTAGCCACAGGCTCACTGGGAGCCAAGAGTGTGCCCCGATGTGGCCATCTGAAGCTAATGCCATCATAGCTACAGTAACTATTATGTGTGTACTGAGGGGGTGGGGTTTACAAATGCACAGTCCTCCTTTCCTCTGTGAAACTAAGACCTCACCTGCAGTTGGTGTCCAGTTGGGGGTCCTGAGTGAGGGGAGGGACAGGGACAGGCTATATCCTGTTGAAGGTGGCCAGGACAGGAAGGTGTCTGGACCCACAGCCAGCAGACCTGGAGCCAGAGTGCGTATATCTATCATCCTCAGGCCTCTGAACTGAAGGGTCGTCACAGAACAGGGGGTGGAGCTGAACCCACAAGGGGCAGATTCAGAGGGACAGATTTTGGCTCAAGATACCAAAAATCTTACACCAATTAAAGCTGTTTGGAAATGGAACCAGCTGCCCGAGGCTGGGAGAGCAACCTGCTAAACAGCGAGGCAGTGGCAGTGAGGACTGTTGAGTTGAAAGGGAGGTTGCCAAGGCTCCTCCCGACTCAGAGGCTGCCTCTTAGTAACGCAGTTCTGTTTTATGCCCAAGAAAGTGCCACCTGGCTCAGCTAGCTGCCCAAGGCCAGCCCTGGCTCCTCCTTGACTGCCTTCTTTAGGACAGAGACCCAAGGGCCACTTGCTGGTCTTTAACTCACCAGTCAGGAGATACTGCTTCTGGCTGTTAGCTTCCAGTCTCACCCCACAGAGGGAGGAATCAAAAGGTGTATAGATATACTGAATATCGCTGACTTTCTCAAACCCTTTGAACATCTGAAAGGCAGTCACAAAAGAGCAGTGTTGGGTCAGTGAGTGTACTTTATATCTTAACAGGGAAAACTTTTCATTCTAAAGCTAAAAAAATTAAGCGAAAATCTAGCTCGTGATTTGTTGTACACAGATAGCCCAACTAGGTCCTTTCTCTCTTAAAAAAAAAAAACACTTCTCAACCTTGGTTTATTCCAGTGAGAAGGGAGGTACCTCCAGCAGCCCCAAGCACAAGCAGCTGTAGGCCTAGGTGGACCCTGGGGCCTCTCCTGCACAGTCACTTGGATTCTGGGAGCCCTGTTCCTTACATGTCATCCACTTCCACTTTGGCATCTCTATCCCAGCATCACTGAGCTGGGCCGCCTCACCTACTGGCCCCATGCTTCCCAGATCACAGACCCCACTCCTCCTAACAGCCCACAGGGTAAATGCCCTGTCCTGTCCCCATGTACCTTTATCTGTTTGATTTCATACCGGATCATTTTTTGAGTGTCAGCAGGATCCGCACTGGCAGGAACTACCTTCTCATTGGAGATTTTGGCCCGGATTGCTGCACAGGGAGAGAAGAGAGGGAGCCTTCAGTAACCTGTGGGAGCAGTCCATCTGGGATCTGGGTGACCCGGAGCCCCTGGGAGAATTCTGTAGGGGGATTCTGGGTCTAGGTCCTGCTGGGTTGTGAGGCGGATGCTGTGTCCGGGCGAACCTCCCCCTCTGCGGTTGCTGGAAGTTCCAAATCCCGCAGGCCAATCTGGGTTTCCAGTCTCTACCCTGTACCAGCTGGATATGGGAGTCTGGTTCTTCACAGCCCAGGGTGCAGTGGAGTGGAGGCGAGCAGCAGGGTGGGGGAGGGAGGAGGAGCCACTTTAGGGCCATCCATGTGGGGTCATCTACTGATGTAGCCCAAGGCCTCAAAGAGAGCTGATATTAGTAAACGTTCATTGAATTAATAAACGTTTTGACCCTGCACAGAGGTAGTTCACCTCTTGCCATTTGGGCATTAAGCAAAACCTGTTTATGAAGTTCGTCCTCTGTGCCTGGCCTAACAGTAGGTACTGGGCCCACAAATGTGGTTAAGACAGGGTCCCCACCGTGCAGAACTCTTGGTCTAGTGGAGAACACACTCAAAAAGAACAACAGCACAGCATGGTAGGAACACAGAGATGTTAGAGATGCTGTGGTAGCACCAAGAAGTCAGGAAGCCTTCAGAGAAGAGGAGGTACCTGAGTAAGGTCTTGAAGGATGAATAGGAGTTTGCCAGGAATTTAAGGGTGTCAGGGAAGGATATCCCAGGCAGAGGGAGAGAAAGGACAAAAGGCATGTGTTGGGGTGGGGGCCCAGTTATAGGCTTGGATACAGAGGGATGTTTATCATGAAAAACTAACCCCCTAACCCCTGGCTCCCCTGCCCCGCATCCAGATAAGAATAATCACTGGATAGTTCCAGCGACTTGTTCAATGACACCCGATAACTGCAGTGGGCAGGGATGAGGGGGTCACAGCGGAGGTCCCTTACACCGCCTTTATTGCCTTGCAAATCAGCCGGTCTCTGTGCCTGCAAGGTTGCTATGGTGCCAGCCTTGCCCCGCCCAGCAGCCACAGCAGGAGGCACCTAGGGCGGGGTTTGAGCTCCTCCCTTTACCTCCAGACTCCTGGTCGCCAGCTCGGGCCCGTAGCGATCCCACACAACCATCCCCCGCTGTGGACCTTGAAGGCTCCCGGGACTCACCGAGCGTCGAGCGGCAGACATGCTGCTGGGGGTGCGCGGGGGCGCAGCTGCACGCCTCGCCCAGCCCCAGCGGCCGAAGCAGTGCCAGCAACCGCAGCAACAGCGCCCAGCTCAGCGCGGTCCGGGAGCCCCAGGGCATGTCACTGTCGAGCCCCGGCTGAGCCTGTGCGGTCTGTCAGGCTAAATAGCCCCTCCAGGGCTCCTTCAGAGCGTGTTGCGCCTCTCGCCCCTGGCTTTATGAGGTGGACCTACGGCCAGTCCCGCCCGGATGGGCTCCGCCCTCTGGCTGTAGGCCACCCGCGGCTGCAGAACCAGAGGCCTCCTGACTGACAGGCTCGGTGAGATGGAGAGGGAAGCCAGGAGAGAGGCCCCTAGCCTCTACTCCCATGCCTGAGCAGTCAAGCCTGCTAGAAGTAGAGGGAAGGCGCTAGGAAAGGGGATGGTGTCGGGACAGAAAGTGCACCAGAGACCACTGCTCAGAGAGGGGAGCTGAAACACCAAGGCACTGTGATTCCCCCAGAAAGGACCCGAGTGCAGAGAGGCACGAACAGAAAGGGTAAGACAGGCAGAGTCAGAGAGAGGCGGGCGGAATTATAACAGGCGAAAGATACAGTGACAGAGAAGGACGGACCCCTCGCCGAGCTGCACACTGGAAGTGAGACAAGCTACTCAGGGCTTCTTTC